AGAGATGAGTCCACTGTCAGAGGTCAGAGGCCAGTAATGGTTTAACTACAGCCGATTATTAGAGATAGATTGATCATATTAACTCATTCACTGCCAGCCATTGGCAGTGAATGAGTTAAAGATTGAAGCATTAATTAATGGCAGGACTTCTTTCAACAGTCTTGTAGGAATGGGGTCTAAAAGACACGTTGATGATTTAGAGGAAGCAATTACTGAAGTTAACTCAGAAAGATCAATACACTGTTTAAATCCAGCTGTGATCTCAGGTGTTTCCAGGTGAGGTGTCATGTGGCTGATCTCATTGATCTGTGTTGCAGTTTAAGCAGCAGAGAAGATTCCTCCCGTCTTTCTCTGCGACGTTTTTTCTCCACCGTCACACTGAGCAGGACTCGAACCAGCAGCCTCGACCGCCTCTGCTCACGGACCCATGAGCGAACCCACCCCTCCCTCGCTGACTCCACCTCCTCAATTTCCAGGAACTCCTCCAGCCTGGTGAAGAAAACTTTATCTGTTGAGTCGCTCAGTGTGGTGAGAACATGAATTATACATCTATCTATCTATCTATCTATCTATCTATCTATCTATCTATCTATCTATCTATCTATCTATCTATACATACATACATACATACATACATACATACATACATACATACACATATATATATATATATATATATATATATATATATATATGGTGAGACTACTTCTTTAACCTATCTGTTTCCTGTCTGTTCAGCAGGAAGTACCACTTTTCCAGTCAAGAAAGTCATCTTTGGAGCTGAAGAAGAAGAAAGATCGTTCTGCGAACTATAAACCAGCTGCTGAACAGTAAGACACACACTTCTCTTTTCTACCCTGATACTCAGACCAGCCCATCACAGCCTACCCACCTGTTTGTCTCTCAGGTCCTTACCTGGTAGTCTTGGCGTCGAAGACATCAGTTGTCCCTCTTCAGTTTGCTCTGTTGGGCGGATTCTTCAGATTTGCCCTGATGGGACATTTTTATTGGAGCTTAAGCGACCAGTGGGTCAGACGTTTGGCTTCATCATCAGCAGAGGAAGAGGACGACGTGACACTGGTACTAACTCTACCGACACTTCCCCTAATACTTAATATATATAAGTATTTTTCACCTTACTAAATGGTAAATGGCCTGTATTTGTATAGCGCTTTTACTAGTCCCCCTAGGGACCCCAAAGCGCTTTACACACCCAGTCATCCACCCATTCACACACACATTCACACACTGGTGGAGGCAAGCTACAGTTGTAGCCACAGCTGCCCTGGGGCAGACTGACAGAAGCGAGGCTGCCATATCACGCCATCAGCCTTTCTGGCCAACACCAGTAGGCAGTAGGTGAAGTGTCTTGCCCAAGGACACAACGACCGAGACTGTCGAACCGGCAACCTTTCGATTACAAGGCGAACTCCCAACTCTTGAGCCACGATCGCCCCACTGATACTACTGATATCATCTTAAATACTACTCACATTACTAAATATATCGACTCACTAATATGCTGGGGTCAGGGAGATTCTATCTGGGGACTTTATTGTCCTGCTGTGGAACAGTGACAGTAATGTAGAAAATGACAGTTCCCACAATGAAATGAGCGTGCGGCACCACCAATAGATCACAAAGCACATCACTGCCTGATGAGCCAGTCACAGCTGTTCCTTGCACCATGCAGCTTGAAGTTTCCTGGATGTACTCCAGGAAAATGACACTGCATTAAACAACTGCACAAGGATTGGATCACTGCCACATTTGTCCCGCCTTTCCACACAATTTAATTTGTTCTGATTGGATCTCATTTTTATTTATTTTTTTCAAAAGTATAAATACATTTCATCATAGTTTTTGTCCTTGTGCATCAGTTTTTAATTAATTACCATGTTGTATTGTCAGGAAAAAAAACGGTTATCGACAAAAACTATGCCGAAAACTATAGGTCAAAAAATGTAACAGATTGAGTGTATGTAAGCATCACAAATAAAACTACAATGTTTGGAAGACTTGTGTTAAACATTCCTTACACTGTTTAAATAAAGAAAAAAACTACATTTTTATAGAGGGGTTAATAATTCTTTCCATGTAAGTGTGAGAATTTTAAAATGAATTCTAAAGTCAACTGGGACCCAATGTAAAGAAAATAAAATGCAGGTAATGTGAGCTGGCATCCCAGAGTGTTTCAGGAGTCTGGCTGCAGCATTCATTATTGCTTGGAGGCATAACAGAGATAATTTGTCCATGCCCATAAAGAGAGCATTTCAATAATCTAAGTGTGATGATACAAATGCATGAACAATTTTCTTCATTTCAGAGGAGGCAACTATAGCTTGCAATTTAAAAATGTTCCTTAAATGGAAGAAACAGGAATGGGAGATCAATTTTATATGTGAGTCCAAGGTCAAGGATGAATAACATACAACACCAGAGGCCATAAGAAGATCATTTATAACCTCCACTAAAGCTGTCTCTGTACTGTGAGGAACTCTGAAACCTGACTGAAACTCTTGAAATAAAAGATTCCTCTGCAGATAATCATTTGGCTGTTTGGCAACTACTCTTTCAAAAACAATTTAGGTGAAATGAAGGTTGGAGATTGACTTATATTTAGCTAAGACAGCTGGGTCAAGTGATGACTTTCTAAGTAACGGTTTAACTACTGCCAGCTTTGAGCAGTCTTTTAGGAATGGGGTCTAAAGACATGCTGATCATTTGGAGGAAGTAATTATTGAAATAAAGTTAGAAAAATAAAAATAAAAACTCTAAATAAATATCAACAGTATTGAAAGTAGCTGTGTATGTTATGAATAATTTTGTTTTGCAATAGTTAACATTTTATTTGTGAAGAAGTTCATGAAGTCATTACTAGTTAATGTTAAAGGAATGGTTGGCTCAACAGTGCTCTGACTTCTTGTCAGCCTGGCTACAGTGCTGAAGAGAAACCTTGTTCTTTTTTTCTTCAATCAGTGATAAATAGTAAGACGTTCTAGCTTTATGAGGGCTTTTTTTTTTTATAGAGCAACAAACTACTAACAGTTTGATGTACATTACAGGTGTGTATATAGAAGACATGAACAGCAGCACTGGGAAGCTGTATGCTGGCCTGCTGGCTATTGGAGATGAGATCCTGGAAGTCAACGAGGAGAAGGTGGCCTGCCTCAGTCTGGACCAGGTGACAAACCTCCTGATCAAGAACCAGTCTGTCACCATTCGGGTCCTTCGACACCAGAGGACACGTTCAGAGTGACAACCACACTGCCTGACTGAAGAACCAGTTGCCGACACTGAACCTGACTCACCTGTTTATGGCAGTAACAGAGTTAAAGCAAAACTGCAGTCTATGTCTTACACTTTCTCATGATGAGAAGCTTCTTGTTTCCTGTTAAATCACTTTGACTTGCTGGTGTGAATATTTGTTTAATGCCATGCAGTATTTGTCCTCTGAGCTGATACTGTTTTTTTGTTTTTTCAATTTTATTTTATTATTATATTAATAATATTATTGGGTTTTTTTTCATGAAGTAGCTTGGTTTTTTATTTTGTCTGTGTTTGTTTTGCTTTTGTTAAAGAAAAAGAAAAATATTGTTTAAAAACAAGCTGGAACCTGCCAAAAGAAAATTATTCAAAGTGAAAAACTCATTGGTCAATAATTGAAATCAGTCAGACTGGATTAAAATGTACCTTAATCAAATGGTCAAAGTCTGTTTTCTTTTCTTTTTTGAAAAAAAAAAAAAAAAAAAAGCTCGAGACATATCATACCATCGGTCACCAGATAATACTTTTATCAATCACTGATCTGTAACAGCTTTCTCCATTCGGACACTCATTATTTATTCTTGTTTAGTGTGAGGAATAAAGTTTTGCGGAAACATGAGCAGTCTGGTTAATCTTTAGTGTAAAAGCAGGTGAAATTTTAGGTTTGTCACAATCTTTATTTCAGTTTGTTTTACGTTTCAGTCAGACATCAGAACACTGAGATCATTTATTCAGGAAACATTTTAGCGGCCCCAGGAGAATTGCCACCGTCACGCCGTACCATAAACCCGATATCTAGGACAATGTGACTGGCTGTTGCTGCCGTCATCCATTTTCATGTTTTAACTAACTTGCTCACCAGCCTTCAGAATAGTACACTAAAGGAGCCACAGGAAGTCATCCACAGGTCAATAAGTCACTCAATATGCTGCACATGTGATAAATACAGGAAACAGAAATAAAAAAGACAACAAAATAAAACGGTTTCAGTCAAAAAACAAAACAGGAATTTTAGTGTTTCTACTTTAGCTGTAAAGTACTGCCATGAAGTTCAAACTGAACTAAACCAGTTTGAACTGAACTAAATGTGAGTTAAATTAAAATGAGTATTCAACACAACTGGATAAAAGTGTCTTTAAAGTGGACCTGCTCTCCTCACTTCCTGTCGTGTGTCTCCTGCTCCTGTGACGGATGTTTGTATTAAAGTTTCTAATAATTAGGTCACAGTGCATACCCTCCTGAGAACCAGCCTATTCATCATTTCCTCTCTAATGTACATTTGTTTTTGGTCTATATGTTTTGAATTATTTGTTCTACCCTACTAAGTCCTGACGTACTAAATAGAGGACATCCTGGGCTTTCCATTGAGATCTCATGTGTCTGGGTGGCCTCTTTTAGCTCCAAAAAGGAAGGAAATCACAAAAAGATTCCTTTTTCCTTGTTTCTCAGGAGGATATAGTTTTCCCTGTGAGCCAAGAGCTCAGACTGCTCTCAACATTTTTTCTATTCTTGAATCTGGAAGATGCCACAGAGAGAGGATAGAAGCCCCACCCACCTGCTGTTCATACCTTCTGTTTATGAGGGGCAGCCAATAAGACTGTCTTGAAGTGTTGGAGGATAAATTGAGGGGCTGCACCAAGGCCTAGTATCAAATAAAAGAAGGATTACTTTGAGCTGTGACTCACGCAAAGCTACTGTGCAAAGGAGCAGAATAAGTCCACATTAAACTCGAGTGAAACTTGTTATTTTCAGTTTTAAATAAAAAGAACAACCAATCAAAACCACACCAAACATGACCTTTGACCTCTGAGGTGGTTCTAACAGTTAAACACTCAAGGAACCAAAAGTGCTGTTCACTCCCGATCAGCAGGAAGAGTCCATTAGAGTCTAAATAAAGTTCAGCACAGTCCAAAGAATGTTCAGTAGAGTATAAATGGAGTCCAGTAAACGGGATTAAGATTTCATGTCGATAGGTGGAGGCATTGATCAGAGTATAAAGAAAAGGAGAATGATGATGAAGAGGATGGTAAGCAGCACGCCGATGGCACACCACTGACGACGATCTGCAAACACACAGAGTTAATAAGATGAGTACAGGTGAGTGCACCTCATCAATACAGGTAGTCACACTGACTCCAGCTCAGTTCAATCCGCAGAGGGAAGAACTACAGCAAGATCAATAATTCCATCATCATCATCATCAATAAATCCAAATCAGCTTAAAGCTACAAAATTTCCTGCCCTAATTGATCATTTCTGATTCATCAGCTCTGAACATCTAAAACCCTGCCCACCCCTCTGAGTTAACTCATATCTTGTTTCATGTGCTGTTGGGCAGATTACCGCTGGTCATGTGGGACACCTTGGCGAGCTTCTTCATTACGTTGTCCAGTTTGGACTGAGTGTTGTCCATCTCATGGCCAAAGTCATCCAACATCCTGCAGGAAGGACATCAGTAAGTCTCTGACAGGTGCCTCCACTCCCCCCTCACCTCTTTGCTTATTACAGGCCAAATAAAGTTCCAGTTCAATTAAATTTTATTTGGAAATTACTATATCAGAAACTAAAAGCTGTCTGAAGCTTTTTCATATACAAAAGAGCAGACAATGAGCCGCTATGGTGAGGAGCAAGAACAGGAAGTGACCTTTAATCGTCACATAAAAAAAAACACAACAACAAAAACAAACATAATGCCTTTGAGAAAGCACCGACATAGGGATCACAGGAACTTTAGTTTACCGAATCACCTTTACCACTCTGACATTTTGTAGTCACATGACGTTCCCACCCACCCCTCTTACTACACTCGGTTCTTACACGGCCTGCTCATCCAGCTCCATGCCGATTCGCTCCGACATGTTCTTCAGGACTCCGATGGTTCCCGACACAAGTTCCAGCTGCTCATCCTGCTGCTCCGCAATCAGCTATCAGAGACAGGAAACACTTTAGCGGCATTGTAAAGGTGGAAAACTTGTTTAGGTTTCTCAGGTGTTCTTGTACCTGCTGCTGGACCTGCTGTTCCTCGATGATCTGAGAGTTAGCGTTCTGTAGCTGGTGGTCCAGTCGGCTGTACTTATCTGCACCAGGCTGCCATATGGGGCCCTGAGCACCACGTTCACCCAGCAGAGCCTGAAGGTCACAACAACAGTTACACGTGCACCAAGACCAGGTATACAGGAGGACCCCAAGAGGATCCAACTGAGATCTTGTGGTGCCCTGAAGGTTCTGCAGTCTCGGGTAATGGATCACCCGTAGGCAGGTGTGACAGTTACCTGTTTGTTCTTTCGGTCAGAAGCAGCAGGTGGAATCGACATCTGAGCTTTCATTTCCTGCAAAACAAACACAGCAGCAAATCAAATCGATCAATTCTGGACATCTCAGGTAATCAATCACCTGAACGATCTACCTTGTAAATTATTAGAATATGACTGGGTCCTTCTGTCTGAGCCATTGATCTCCTGTTGTCAATAAAGTTACCTTGACGGCAACCCGCATGCTGTTGATGAAGGCCTTCCTCTTAGACAGCTCGGCAGCATCCAGGTTGAACTTCTTTGGGTTCGACTCGACAATACGTAAACTTACCGTTAAGAAGAATTATCTTATTTTCATATAAAACATGTTACATAATGACAATGTTGGTGACGTGACCTCAACTCAGGGGTGGCATGTAGCCCCCTAATGCATGCTAAAGATGAAAGTAAAACCTAGTTCAGCTCAGAGAGCATATTTAACAAAATAAGAAACACATTTTAATATATTAGCTGAAGTTAATGACGAAAAATCACAACAACAGTTGCTTTATAGTGTTAGGTTAGGTAAAGGCCCGAGAAAACTGAAAAAAACCCAACAATCAGACGACCTATGTGCACGCACTTGGCGACAGTAGAAAGGTAGAGGTTTCTTCCTTTTAACAGAAGGAAACCTTCAGCAGAACCATGCTCAGTGAGGGGTGGCCTTCTGAGAGATCAGTTAGGGATGAGGGGATGAAGACAGAACCATGCTGTGGAACAGAGCCAGAGAAGCAAAAAGAAAAGTTTGAAGCCTAACCCTAATCTTAAAAGTAGAAATAGTGTCTGTCTCCTGAATCAAAACTAGAAGCTGGTTCCATAGAAGAGGGACCTGTTCTAATAAATTCAACACGATCACTTACTCTGTCTTCACAATCAGTGATTGATTGGAGCCAATTTCAGTGTTTGTAAATATGTAATTAATGATTACTAATTGATTGATCTGCTCTCAGCATGTACGAGGAAACGGGTGTCAATCAGCAGCTTCAGATGCAGTGGGAGGGGAGGAGTCTGTTAACCCTCCTCTTCTTCATTAAATTGTCATCAAACAGACTCTAACCATTTATGAACCAATCAAATTGCTCCATCTCACCTTGTGCACCAGGTCTATGTGAAGATTTACAAACAAAACTGTCTTCACTGTCCAGGGTTTTGAGGTGATACACATCTCCTCTTCTTCTTCATTCTTTCTTTTTCCACAGCTGAACGAATCAGCCAATATCAGATGCTCTAATCATAAAACTGTATTCACCTTTCCAGTACGCCTGTATATACACCTGTGCGTGTTTCTGCTGGCTTCACATTTGAAGGATATTGATTGTCTCGTCAAGGTCCTCTAGGTCCCACTCGATGGAGCGCAGGCTGTTCCTCAGCTCATTGGTCGTCCAGTCTATCTCCTCCTTGGAGGCTCCGCCTCCCTCCACCATCAGTTCGCTCCATCTATGATGGAGGCTCTGAGCAGCGTTGACTGCTTTCTGCACCTCGCTAAAAAAACAAAACAAAAACAAAAAAACAAACAGGTGAAGTTGAGCTTCAGAGGAACCTTAATAGCACAAACCAGAAACAGAACCAGGTCTATCTGCTGCAGGGTGTTTTCATGTGACGTAAGGTAACTGGAAAACTAAATAAATACAAAACTGGAGGGTCAACTTTATGGATCGTTTACTGATCAGTGTTTAAATGTCCAGCAACAATTTCAGTCAAATCTGCACAGCCACCCGGTTGTTATTTTACAGAGCCAAGGAATCAAAATGTTTTTAAAATCACATGGCTCACTATCTGTACTCTGCCATGTCCCCCATTCTCCATGCAAAATATGAAAAAGAAGAAAACATGTGAAGGAACTGATTATGTCAAAACAAAAAGCTACTTATAGAAAGGAACCTATTAGGGTGAAGTAATGTTACACCTGTAAACAGGTTATATATCACTGATCAATAAAATCAAACATCTCATCTGTAACGTTCAAACAGGCTGAAATCAGAAGCGATATAAGCACAAGCTGTGGTCCTGTGTGTGAATCAGGAGGAGATACAGGTGTTCCCTCATGTGACAAGTGATTAAGGTGCTTGAGAGGCCAGCCTCGCCCACCTGAGATCAGAGGTGAAAACGTCTTAAGCCTCTGAAGTTTGCACAGTGTATTATACAATCATCATGGAGGTCACTTTCATTTAACATGATGCAGTTGCTGCTGTGTGGTGGTTTATACGTTCAAGGAGACACAGTTCACTTTGGGATTCATTGGGAACATCATGAGAGAACACACACCACACCCCTCACAGATCACTGAGGAGGAGCATCATAAAAGTTGGAGACACCAAGAGACCATAGAAAGTGATCAGGAGAGCGTTCTGCGATTGGCTGCAGACACTATAAAGCTGTAGTGGAAACGAAGCCAGTGCACAAAGTGTTCTCCACCACGGATCATCCTGATCTCGCCTGCTGCACAAACTGCTTCACCTCCACAACATACAGGAGGTCTGTGACTCTCTGATAAACATACACCTATCTGGAAATGTCATCATTACTATTAATAACAATATTATTATTATTCACCCACTCATTCATTAATTCTCTGTCGCCTATCCAAATGTTATTATTATATTATTTTAATTGTTGCTGTTTCAGCTTCATTCCACCTGCTCCAAACAGAAGCTGGTAAATTTGATCTAAATAGAGTCTCTCACTCTTTCTCATCATCATCATCGTGGTACACACAGACGGTCTAAAACACCTCCTAAAACTTTAATCTGATAAAAAACACACAAAGCTAACAGGCTAACATGCTAATAAACTAACTGTGAAGACACGTTTATGTTAACGTTAGCACGTTAGTTGCCGTGAATCTGCTCCGGCACACACGTCGGTCTCACTATTGACGGAAACAGATCAACGATCAGATCGATTATGGATCAGCTATCACCTGTCCGCAGGCTAATGTTAGCTGCTAGCCCTGTGTTAGCGACGCGGTTCTGACCCTTTGACGACGAAGAACGGGTCTTCCATGGACATCCCGCCGGCTCTGTTCACTCCATCACCCACTTTCTCGTAACCGAATCCGCGGATTCTGATTTCCGCCGGTCCGTCCTCACGAAGCCGCTAACGGAGCCGCTAACAGGCTTTGTTTACACGTAGCACCGGAAACAGCTCCGCGATGGCACTCTTCTTCTTCTTCTTCTTCTTCTTCTTCTCCGACTCTTACTACAGTTTCCAAACAAGAAAACAGTGCCACCAGCAGTTGCGGGGAAATAACATTTAATTGCAATATTATACAGTGGTCCCTCGCGATTCACCTTTCGCGGAATCGGTGTTTCGCGGATTTTTTTTTTTTTTTTGTGTGTGCAATTTTGCATGATTTATTTTATTTTATTTATTTTTAAAGCGCATTGTGTTCTCCGTCCTGATTGGCTGTAGATCATTGATTGTCAATCAATCTCGTGCCGTGGTCCTGTACAGTACAGAATGAGTTCAGCTTGTCCAATTTACATAAATCTTCGATCGCTAGTAGTGTGACTCTGAAGTGCATTATTGTATGTTTGTTTTCTCCCCAACAAACACAACAATGTCGATGAAACGTTTTGCACCGTCAAAGGCAACTGTGGGTGCCTTTGGTTTCATTCTATAATACTGGACTTATTTTTCTACCAAGGTTTCACCTTTGAGGGTGTTTAAACAAGAGAGAAGAGTGTGAAAATGGTCATGCCTGTCTGAGAAAAGTGTATAAAGTGTGTAGTGAGGGCAAGGGCGTAGATTTGGTTTTGGCATTGGTGGGGACGGATGATTCAACCACCGAACCCTGCCCTGTTTCTTTTTTTTTTCCCTTTTAGTCTTTGCTCAGTGGCGTGTCCAGCGGGGTGGCCTGGGGGGGGGGCACAGGCCACACCCCCCCCACCCCCCAACCAGACTGGCCACCCCAAAGGCAAAACAATAAAATTCAATCAAATATCAAATGTACGATTATGTTTTTACGGTGAAGATCAGATATCCGAGTGTAAGTGAATGTAGCATCGGTTTCTGCGCTATGTGCATCACGTTAAGAGTTATGAGTTATAAGATATAATCTAAGTCGTAACATTGCTGTATGGAGCTGCAGATTTGGTTGCAGGTAAACATAGCTGGACTGGCCATCGGGCATACCGGGCATATGCCCGGTGACTTATTTTTTATTTTTTTTGTAATGGCATGAACAATGAGAGGTGGTGGATTGGCCAGATGCAGGTCGATGTGTAAAAATAACTCAGTTGTTTGGTGGTGTCTATGGTGGGGCTTCCACAGAGGCCAGCAGGTGGATGAGGGAAGGTGAGGCAGGAGGAGAGACCCGAGGCAGCCGCCGGTCCGAGTGTCAGGTGAACTGAACTTCAGGTAAGAAGTTATGACCTGCAGTCTATCTGGGTCAGATATATACCAAGTTTAGGTGGAGTTTATTTTCGTTGTGCTGACTTTTTACCGTCAGTTACAATAACTCGTACTGCGTTCTAGCCAGCTTGACAGAGTTTTTATACAGTACAGCTGGGTGGGTGCTATGATGTTACTGGTAGTGAACTTTATTTTATTCATAAGGTTAGTTAGTAGAGTTGCGAACGGCTCCTTAAAAAAGAAATGGAATAAAAACAACAGAATTTGAATGAAAACAACGGAATTAAAATGAAAAGAACAGAAATAGAATGAGAAGAATCGAATGTGAATGAAAAGGACAGATTTTGAATGAAAACAAAAGAATTAGAATGAAAAGAACAGAATTTGAATGGAAAGAACAGAATTTGAATGAAAGCAACAGAATTTAAAGGAAAAGAATGGAATTTGAATGAAAAGAACAGTATTTGGATGAAAAAAAGAATTAGAATCAAAAGAATGGAATTTGAATGAAAAGAACGCAATTTGAATGAAAACAAAAGGGTTAGATTGAAAGCACGGGAATTTGAATGAAAACAAAAGGGTTAGATTGAAAGCACGGGAATTTGAATGAAAACAACGGAATTAAAATGAAAAGAGTAGAATTAGAATGAGAAGAACTGCATTTGAATGAAAAGGACAGAATTTGAATGAAAACAACGGAATTAGAATGAAAAGAAGAGAATTTGAATGAAAACAACGGAATTTGAATGAAAACAACAGAATTTGAATCAAAAGAATGGAATTTGAATGAAAAGAACGCAATTTGAATGAAAACAAAAGCATTAGAATGAAAGCACGGGAATTTGAATGAAAACAACGGAATTAAAATGAAATGAAAAGAATTAGAATGAGAAGAACAGCATTTGAATAAAAACAACAACGTTTGAATGAAAACAACGGAATTTGAATGAAAAGAACAGAATTTGAATGAAAACAACAGAATTTGAATGAAAGCAACATAATTTAAAGGAAAAGAATGGAATTTGAATGAAAACAAAAGAATTAGAATGAAAGCACGGGAATTTTAATGAAAACAACAGAATTGAAATGAAAACAAAAGAATTAGAATGAGAAGAACAGCATTTGAATGAAAATAACAGAATTTGAATGAAAACAACAGAATTTGAATGAAAACAACGGAATTAGAATGAAAAGAACAGAATTAGAATGAAAACAACAGAATTTGAATGAAAACAACAGAATTAGAATCAAAAGAATGGAATTTGAATGAAAAGAACGCAATTTGAATGAAAACAAAAGCATTAGAATGAAAGCACGGGAATTTGAATGAAAACAACGGAATTAAAATGAAATGAAAAGAATTAGAATGAGAAGAACAGCATTTGAATAAAAACAACAACGTTTGAATGAAAACAACGGAATTAGAATGAAAAGAACAGAATTAGAATGAAAACAACAGAATTTGAATGAAAACAACAGAATTTGAATGAAAACAACAGAATTAGAATCAAAAGAATGGAATTTCAATGAAAAGAACGCCATTTGAATGAAAACAAAAGAATTAGAATGAAAGCACGGGAATTTGAATGAAAACAACGGAATTAGAATGAAAAGAACCTAATTTGAATGAAAACAAAGGAATTAGAATGAAAGCACGGGAATTTGAATGAAAACAACGGAATTAAAAATAAAAGAACAGCATTTGAATAAAAACAACAGAATTTGAATGAAAACAACGGAATTAGAATGAAAACAATAGAATTTGAATGAAAACAAAAAAAATAGAATGAAAGCACCGGAATTTGAATGAAAACAACGGAATTAAAATGAAAAGAAAAGAATTAGAATGAGAAGAACAGAATTTGAATGAAAACAAAAGAATTTGAATAAAAAGAGTAGAATTAGAATGAGAAGAACAGCATTTGAATAAAAACAACAGAATTTGAATGTAAACAACGGAATTAGAATAAAAACAACAGAATTTGAATGAAAACAACAGAATTAGAATGAAAAGAAAAGAATTTGAATGAAAAGAACAGAATTAGAATGAAAAGAAAAGAATTTGAATGAAAAGAACAGAATTTGAATGAAAACAAAAGGGTTAGATTGAAAGCACGGGAATTTGAATGAAAACAACGGAATTAAAATGAAAAGAACAGAATTTGAATGAAAACAACAGAATTAGAATGAAAAGAAAAGAATTAAAATGAAAAGAACAGAATTTGAATGAAAACAAAAGAATTTGAATAAAAAGAGTAGAATTAGAATGAGAAGAACAGCATTTGAATAAAAACAACAGAATTTGAATGTAAACAACGGAATTAGAATAAAAACAACAGAATTTGAATGAAAACAACAGAATTAGAATGAAAAGAATGGAATTTAAATGAAAAGAACAGAATTAGAATGAAAAGAAAAGAATTTGAATGAAAAGAACAGAATTTGAATGAAAACAAAAGGGTTAGATTGAAAGCACGGGAATTTGAATGAAAACAACGGAATTAAAATGAAAAGAACAGAATTTGAATGAAAACAACAGAATTAGAATGAAAAGAAAAGAATTTGAATGAAAAGAACAGAATTTGAATGAAAGCAACGGAATTTCAAGGAAAAGAATGGAATTTGAATGAAAAGAACAGAATCAAAGAATGGGATTTGAATGAAAAGAACGCAATTTGAATGAAAACAAAAGGGTTAGATTGAAAGCACGGGAATTTGAATGAAAACAACGGAATTAAAAATAAAAGAACAGCATTTGAATAAAAACAACAGAATTTGAATGAAAACAACGGAATTAGAATGAAAAGAAGAGAATTTGAATGAAAACAACAGAATTTGAATGAAAACAACGGAATTAGAATGAAAAGAAGAGAATTTGAATGAAAACAATGGAATTAGAATGAAAACAATGGAATTTGAATGAAAACAAAAAAAATTAGAATGAAAGCACCGGAATTTGAATGAAAACAACGGAATGTGAATGAAAAGAACAGAATTTGAGAACAAACAATAGAATTTGAATGAAAACAATGGAATGTGAATGAAAAGAACAGATTTTGAATGAAAACAATGGAATTTAAAGGAAAAGAATGGAATTTGAATGAAAAGAGAAAAAAATAGAATGAAAGCACCGGAATTTGAATGAAAACAACGGAATTAAAATGAAAAGAAAAGAATTAGAATGAGAAGAACAGAATTTGAATGAAAACAAAAGAATTTGAATAAAAAGAGTAGAATTAGAATGAGAAGAACAGCATTTGAATAAAAACAACAGAATTTGAATGTAAACAACGGAATTAGAATAAAAACAACAGAATTTGAATGAAAACAACAGAATTAGAATGAAAAGAAAAGAATTTGAATGAAAAGAACAGAATCAAAGAATGGAATTAGAATGAAAAGAACAGCATTTGAATGAAAACAAAAGGGTTAGATTGAAAGCACGGGAATTTGAATGAAAACAATGGAATTAAAATGAAAAGAACAGTATTTGAATGAAAACTACAGAATTTCAATAAAAAGAGTAGAATTAGAATGAGAAGAACAGCATTGGAATAAAAACAAAAGAATTTGAATGAAAACAACGGAATTAGAATGAAAAGAAGAGAACTTGAATGAAAACAACAGAATTTGAATGAAAACAAAAAAATAGAATGAAAGCACCGGAATTTGAATGAAAACAACAGAATTAAAATGAAAAGAAAAGAATTAGAATGAGAAGAACAGCATTTGAATGACAACAAAAGAATTTGAATAAAAAGAGTAGAATTAGAATGAGAAGAACAGCATTTGCATTAAAAACAACAGCATTAGAATGAAAACAAC